TACTTGGCGTAACTTATTGATATCATTTCTTTTGTAGAATAGATCCTGTAGAAGAAGATTTTGGTAGCAATACTTTTTCTAGAGATACGAGTTGCGCATGTACTTGGCGTCTTTTTTTACCTTTTTTTGAAAAGGTATTTTGTTCGGTTATATATACAGCACGCTGAAATGAATGGGTCAATTTTATAAAAAAAAAAGAATTTATTTCTAGTCGCAGATTTTCAAGCTGTTAGTACTCGACCAATAGTGGAAAACAAATAAAAATGAATGACGCAAAAAAAAGGATTCCCACATTTAGCAAAATCCATTCCTTCTACGCACTGTATTTCACATAGAGACTAATGAGTTCTATTTTATATTTGTATGGTAATGATGAGTAACGTAATTAAAAAACAAAATTTACTCACGCAGTTGCATATACGTTATTATTGTGGTTTATAATTTGCTGACCCATAACATTAGCCACGAACATATATATAATAGCGATACCTGCAAGTGTAACAGAAAATAATAAAAGTTCATCAATCTTCCGCGTTGATGATAAAACCTCAAAAATCTAAAAAAACAGAAAGTTAGTAATAACAACTATTCTTTTTTTAAGATTCTTTTTTGGAACTTGACTTCATACCACGTAAGTTACAATATTTTTAACACTTTTTACATAAGTACGTATTACACAACTGTATTCAAGTATGTTTTTATGTCATTTTAACATTCATACAAGCAACAAAACGGCTTACTCGAAAAACGTTGAAGCTCAAAATAAGTACTCCACATATGATTAGAAAAAAAAACGATATCTCAAAGTTAGATATTAAAGTATTTGCGTACCTTCAACAAAAGAAAATATTACTGCACATATACTATACATATACAATACTTCCTTTAAATAGCGTCAAATTTGAAGAATCAAAATATGGAAAAGAAACTTCGGGTAGACTTGGACTATGCCATATACTTTTTTGGTTGTTTGTACGTTCCATAAGAGACAAAAAAGACACATTGTCTCAAAAGATTGGCGAGTCGGAAGTAAAATAGACGTAATATTTACGACTTGGTTACAAACATGGAAACGAACATAACGGAAACAGGTATGACGCTATTTGAAGGCAAATAAGCACAGTATATAACAAAAATACTAACATCATAGCTTTTCGATGAATATCTACAGCACAAATTATATTCTTATGTATCGAGGTTTTATGTATCAAGATTGTGTCAGATTTACGAAAGGTTTCGACATGCTTGATACGGAAGCTGTAAAAATAACTTAATACAAGATTTATATTTTTATATATAAATAACAGAAATTACTGGATGTGTAATATACAGTCATAATAATTATTAAAGTTATTGAATTTTTAATAAAATAATAAAAGCAGATATCATTTTATTATATGTAATATATTTGCATACGTGATGTCGGTATAATTTTATTGAACTGTTATACATAAAGTGAGTAGTAAGCTTAAGTTATTTTCTATTGTTTTTTTTATAAGATATATAGTCATAAAGATATTATAAGATATTTAGTCATTGTAATTTATATTTTTTTATTTATATTCATATTACCTAGCAATTTTAAACAGTCCGCAGGCATGTTGCAAAAACATAATAAGCATTGCTCCCGTTGCTAAGAGAGTAGTCAATCCTATGAAAAATGCTACGTGTGTATGGAGTAACAATAAATGCGCATATCTTTCTTTGTTGACAAAATATTCAGTAAATACTAGCTGCAATTGATTGTGTTGGCGTGATACGTTTACCGATGAAGAACTGTAAGTCAGATCCGAACACAACTGACTAATCGCCACAACAGATAAACTAATAACAACAATCACTATATACAAATTGAAACAAACACAATTAAAATTTTTACCTTCAAGTCAAACAACGTGTCTTTATTCTTAAAAAAAATTTAATTAATTTTTACTAATTTTTGCGCATACTCATATACATATATATAACTTATTTAAAATAATATACTAAATCCGACATTTCTTTCTAATATTTTAAAGTATAGAATTTACAATAGTAAATCCGACATTTCTTTCAACTATTATAAAGTATAGCTTTACAATAGTTTTCTTTCGTATAATATTATAAAGTACAATATTATATACAGTATCTTTAGAATTGATTCAGTTTACTTGTAAGTGCAACTGTGTACCGCTTTCCAATATTTCCATACTTGTTTATTACGGCGATTTCATTGTCTTTTAGATTGTCACAAATACATTGTAGTTCTTCTATTAAATATTTTATCTATATCAATAGCAATAAACTATTACAAGTGTTTTAAAGTAAAATGACACACAAAAAAATACTTTTTATGTAAAATGTACTTGTGCATGACTAATTGACTAAATATTTTGTACATCAAATATAAAACTTACCGTTTTTCTGTTAACGTAAAATGAATTGTATTTTATTACGAAGGTAACAAAGCTAGGCGTAATAGACAAATTAACGAGTAAAACATCGACAGTACATTTTGAAGTCAAAAATGGAGTAAGCTGTTTTTTTTCGAGAAGTAAACAGTGCTCATTGTTATTATCACATATTGTAAAACATGCCACTAATTTTTATTTAAATGAATGTTATAAGATAAAATTCTTGTTAAGACTCACCTGAAATATAACACTAGTTATCAGAATAAAATAAGAAACTCCTAATTGAAATCGGACAAGATTCGAGATCTCATAAGGCCATAAACCAAGTGCCAGCAAAAGAGTTCGGTTCAAACTAAAATATCGATCTATTACATCAGTCATGTTTCCACTGGCTCAAAGACGAGTACGAAACAATGCAAAGAAAACAACTTTTTTTTCTGTTTTTATTTTCATTTATTCATTACCACATTTTTTTTAATCTAACGTATTAGTGTATTATTATTTTAGTAACATGTATATAAGATAACATTTTCTAAAGCACAAAATAGGAAACACAACCTTGTGTGACTGTGACACCTGCAACTTACTATTTGGATGTTCCCGTCTATAATTTAATCAAACAGATGTTTTTTTTCGCAGAATAAACTTCGTCACGGAAAGCGTGAGATAAAATTCTGCGCAAGCGCAGTGTTTTGGGTTTCGAAGGTGTAAAATTCACTTCACTGAATGTTCTCGTAGGTTACGCTTCATCTTGCAGACGAAGATGCGAACAACTAGTTTTGTTTCTAAGATGACATACTTATAGATGTAAGTAACATTTTTGTATCTGTAGAAAACAATAATAATATAAAATCATTAGATCATATGTACACAAACAAGAAGCGTTTATAGTACGTAACGTATAGAAAGTGTCACAAAAGTGAATTTTGATATAATATTTACTCGTTAATATTATTACACAACAATTTGATCATTTTTCTTGATTTCGTCAACTAAAAAAGTATACATCTCATACTATTTGTCGTTTTCTTTAAAAGTGTCTATCATGATAATGATTATCTTGTAGAATACATAACGGTAAAGTAAGATATCGACGCGTTCATCAACTGTAACATGGAAGCTTTCGGTGTACGGTTTTCAATTCACTAACAAAACAATAGACGATTGTTGCGTGGCATAAAATCAATTTTTCACGTGTAACGTTTATTACATACCGTGGCAAAGCATTGTAGGGATGCTATATATAATCCACCGACATTCAAGCCAAATATCTTGGTGCTTCTTTGCAACAAAAATAATATTTGTGTTTGTATACGTCGAGAAGTTAGATACCACGGAATCTCGTACCTACATGTATAATGTCATTTACGCTAAGTGTTAGGTTGCAATAATGTAAAAGTAAAAACAAATCAAAACTACAATTGCTTGCACTGAGAAAAAAAAGTTGTTGAAGCAACAAAATAGTATTTGTTTCAACTGTATGCAGCGGTCACGGGTTGTCAATGAAATATTGATTAATGTAAGAAGATATCATGTTTCAATAGATATAATAATTAGGTTATACCGAAAGACAATTTAGTTGTGTTTTAACAAAATTATAATTTGCTCAAATACAGATAACTTTGAATGTACAACACAATAGGACAACACAATATTTTGTCTGCTTATAAAAATAAGCAGTTTGATTAGATGAAATACTTAGTACAAAGAAATTCAGCTTATATTCAATTAAAGTAAATAAGAAGTGCCTATTTCATCTTTTTTAACAATATCTTTTATTTGAAATTATCACAACTTATGTTCGACAAAACAATTTATGGTTTAGTGAATTAAATATGTTCATTACCACTATTGTTAATTCAACTTTATACGAATTTGTTATCTTTATTACCATATGCTTGAATTAAAAAACCAAGTATTTCAGATAACAAACTGAAACTCAATTAAATGCATTTAGTTGAGTTAATAGTATTTTTTTCTCAGTGTGCATAGCACAGTATGCACATAAAGTACGCAAAAATGAATCAATCAGTTTTACTGAAGAAGAAAATCCTTCCAATCGCCAATTTACTAACTCAATAAAAACAACAAAACTGAACGATGTATAAATTTTTATGCCTATTTAACAACACCGAATCATTACTGCGTACCGTGTATTTCACAGAGATAATAATGAGTGTTATTTACTATCTTATTAAGGAATGACGTAATTATATAAAAAGAAATTTTCTTACCCAGCTTCATATACTTTATTATTGTGATTTATAATTTCCTGACCCATAAAATTGGCAAAGAACATGTACACAACAGCAATACTTGTACTTACAAAAAATGGTACAATTTCACTAATATTGCACGTGGACGATGCAATCTGAAACATCTTATACAAGAAAAATAGATAAATACTAATATCAATTCCGAAATCTTCATTTAGAGATATGCAAAATCTGTAATATTTACAACACTTTTTACATAATTTGTTATCATATAGTTAATTACAGTATAAACTCTGTCTTAAACTAAAACTTACTCGAAAAACGCTAAAACTCAAAGTAAGTACTCCAAACACTATTAAGAAAAAAAACGACATCTCAAAGTTAGCTATTAAACTATTTGCGTACCTTAAAAAGGAAGAAGTTTTATCAAACACTATATAAATATATGTTAAACACTATAAATATACTTTCTTTAAACAGTGTCGAGTTTGAAAAATCGAAGCGTATTTTAAAATCAAATTCTCAGATAAGTTGGTTTTATCAATTTTCAAAAAAAAACGAGACAATACTTTTAAACGTAGAGTGTTTTTGATCTTTTGAACTTTTTTTTAAAATGGTGAAGTCAAAACAAACATAACCGAAGAGAGACGATTTCGACACTATTTGGAGAAAGCAAGTACTGTGTCATACGATGAATACCAACATTATTGCTTTTCGATGAATATCTATGGCACAGATCAGATTTTTAGATATCGAGTTTTCACTTAGCAGAATGTCATCTTGATGTTTAGAAATTTGTATGGAACGCTTCATACGAACGCTGTAAAGAGAAATCAACCCAAAAATATTTTTCACAATTTATTTTATATCTTAAGACATTACACGTTTATTTTTTTAAATTTCTTTTTATTTATTCTCTTACCTAGCAATTTGAAACATTCCGCAGGCATGTAGTAAATACGTGATAAGCATTGTTCCTGTTGCTACCATAGCAACAATTCCTATGCAAATGGCTGCGAGTATATGAAGTACCACAAAAATCCAATATTTATCGTGATCGATAAAATATTCAATAATTATAATTTTCGATTGATCGTGATAATGAGACACGTTTAGTAACGAATTACTGTCGTCCAAAATTGAGGTTATCTGAGCTCTCAACTGAGTTATCAAAATAACACCAGCACCACTAACAAGAAGCACTGTAGATATACATTGAATCAAACATAATTAAAAGACATTTAAAATAAACATTAAAAACAGAGTATGTTCATTTTAAAAGCTACACAGAGAAAACGGTTTCTTTAGATTTAACAAATTTTGTTAAATCCAAACAAATTATTTCATTGGAATAGTCCAAACAACCTTGATTTTGAACTAAACATTCCGATTGTTTGAATTTCAAACAAAGTATTTTGTTAAGTTAAATAAATCTAAAACTTCGATAAAAAAAACTTTTTCGCGGCTTGCGCAACTTATACAACTTCGGGATTTTACTCGAAGTACCTAATCTTTGAAGGCCCGGGATTTTTAGCTTGCCAATCAACCGATGAAACTCCATTGAAAGAGACTGGACCTGAAAAAAACCCTAATGCTACCTCTAGACTATGCGCGTATTCGTGATTCGTGATTCGTGATTCGCGATTATACAAACACACTTTTTGCGTGTATTCGCGTGACTACTACGTAGCTACGTAGCGCATTGCTACAAATCGCAAATCACGAATCACGAATACACGCATAGTCTATTCCCAGCATAAGGTGATAGCGGAGATTCGAAACTCGAGATGCACCTCCGTCCGTATTCGTAGCCCCTGCACTTAGAGTCCGCAAGACTACTTGTTCCTTACTAAAATGTGATTAATTTTATTTACTTATACTCAAGCTATCCTATACGCATTTCATTTATTATTTCTTTAAATTATTATTTTATTAACAATATTGCAGTGCAATATATCTGCAACAATGAATAAAAATATTTCTCTTATTATTATTAATTATTTATTATTCTTATAATTTAAAGTACATTTTTACGCGAAATTTTTTGTCTTAAACAATGTTATATTTAAATCAAATATATTTTATGTTATATTTATGTTACAAAATGATTTTTTTCATTAAATAGTGCTTATTAAAACCAAATAAAATATTATTTTGTTGGAATAAATTATTTTAAACATTTGTATTGTTTCCGTCAAATAATTTGATTTATCTTAACATAACAATATAATTTTCATTCAACAAAATTAATGTTTCGTATAAAATTATGTTGTTTGAATTTAACACACACACAAATATGAGTCAAACAAATCGGATTATTAAATTTAAAGAAACCGTTCTCTCTGTGTATAGTATAATAATAGCTGTACATGTATTCATATATGCATATATATAAACTTTTTAGAACAAAATACTAAATGAAACATTTTGCAATTTTTTTATAACATTGTTTTTTATATTACAGTATACTATTACAAGTATTTTTCTAATTGGTTTGTTTTACTTGTAAGTCCAATCGTGTAACGTCTTCCAATATTTCCGTATTTGTCTATAATGGTAATTTCATTGTCTTTCAGATTATCACAAATATGTTGAAGTTCTTCTATTAAATACTTTACCTATATGTTGTGAGCAATAAACTATTTCACACAATTGTATTAAAGTAGAATACAACATAGTTAAAATACTTTATTTGTACGTGAGTAAGTTTAATAAAATATTTACATATATTACTTACCGTTTGTCTGTTGACATAAAACGAATTGTATTTTATCGTTAAGCAAATGAAACTAGGCAGGATAGAGAAAGTTTTGATGAAACGGTCAACAGTATATTTCAGAGTAAAAAATGGTGTAAGCTGCATAAAATTTTTTTTTAGATGTAAACAGTTTCTATTTATTATACAAATATATATTAAAATATGCTACGACGTAGTTATAATTCTCTATATATATACATAAATATATATATAATGTTATAAAATAAAGTTCCTAGCAAGGCACACCTGAAATATAATACTAGTTATGAGAATAATATAGAAGGACAATAACTGGAACTGAGCAAGTGTTGAGGTTTCATAAGGCCATAAACCAAGTGCCAGCAAAAGAGTTCGATTTAAACTAAAATACCGATCCTTTACATTGACCATCTCTTTGCGAGCTTCAGGACGAGGAACACCAAACAAACAGAAAAATAAAGATCCTTCCTTTTCTTTACTTTCCGCTTATTTGTTTGGTAAAATATTTTCTTTCAAAAGTAGTGTAGCAATTTACTATTTTTTAAGATAATTTTTTCTGAATAATTTAGCTTAGTAAATACGGTAATAACACCGTAGTATTGTAACACACGCAATATTTAACACTTTTGTTGGAACGCATCTGTTTATAAAGCGATCGATAAAACATCAAAAGAAATTTAACAGCTGTTTTCCTTCTCGCAAAATGCGAAAGGGTGGCGCATAAAAGTCACGCAAGCGCAGTTGACCATGTTTTAGAAGGTATAAGATATTATTTACTTTATTGACTATGTTCGTACGATATGTTTGATCTCTCTGTAGGAAGATAGTGCGGACACCTATTTTTGTTATCCAGCACTGAACGTAAGTATACATTTACTTATATACTGTTTATATAAGGTTTATATAATTAATAAAATGCAGAATTTTGTACAAAATCCGGTTTGGTCACATGTCCTGTATAGTAGTGATTATCTTGCAGAATACATAACGGTAACATAAGATATCGATGCGTTTACTAACTGGAACATATGTGTGTCTTTACGTTTCTTGTCGCATTAAAAAAACTAATATAGTTAATGTAATGTTATATATAGAATATTCTGCTTACCGTGGCAAAACACTGTAGGGACGCTATAAACAATCCACCGACACTCAAACCAAACGACTTGTTTCCTCGTTGTAATAAAAGCACTATTAGTTTTTGTATATTCAGGGGAAATATGTACCATTGAAATTTGTATCTGCGCATATATAAAATGGTTGATGTTAAACTTACACTGATAAGTGTTATTGTAAATTGTTAAAAAAAAATAATTAACGAAAAAATTATCCTTACGCAGCAGCAAACACGTCATTATTGTGATCTATAATTTCCTGACCAAGAGCATTTGAAAGAAACATATATACAAAACTAGCCACTGTAAGTGAAAAATGCAGTAACAGTTCATAAATGTCATTTGTGGATGATACAATGTAAAACATCTGTTAAAACAATATTGTTTTTATTGTCGAAGCTCTTAGTAAAGGTCAGATTAAATTTTTAATGTTTTACTTTATTGTTTTCGTGCACATACAATACTACAACAAAATAATACTTGCCCGAAAAATATTTAAGCTTAAAGTAGCCACTCCAAATATTATTAAAAATAAGAAGGACGTCTCAAAGTTGGACATTAAAAATGTAGAATACCTTTAAATAAAAAAGTAATTACTGCATGTACATATAATGCATATATTATTATAGAAACTACAAACCGCATAGCTGTTTGATGAATGTCAATGGCATTACATATATGTTTGCGCGTTAAGATTTCATTTGGTAAGTTATTATCTTTATACTTTTGAGTGTGTATGATACGGAAGCTACAAAGAATTTACGACTTAAACTTTACAATTATAAATAAACACACAATGAAAATGTAGCTTTATAAAATAATATGTCTTGTTCTTTAAAAAATATGAACTTTTTTACCTGGCAATTCTGAACAATCCGCAAGCGTATTGTGCAAAAGTAAGAAGCATTGTTCCTGTAGCTGCAATAGTAAAAAATCCTAGCCAAAGAACTGCGATTATATGCAGTACCGTGAGAGAAAAATATCTATCTTGGTCAATAAAATATTCAGTAATTACAAGCTGTGCACGTTGTTGACGTTGGTCTACAGAATTGTTTACCGTTACAGGAACACAAAGAAGATTTATACATAAACAAATGACGAATTCGATAATTGGTATAATAACAGCAAGCCCTAAGTATCGTGAGAGACATAAACAAATCTTTTATATAGAAATAATATAATCAAAACATAATATGTACAGAATAAAAATGTTATACAAGCTCGCATGTATGTAAAAGTTTTTAATTAGTAAAATGAGCGCTTGAGAAGCGATGATCTGATGACTCTGTAGGTTGGGATAAAACCATATTACACTATTGTTTATATAATTTTATATACTTTTTGATATGATTTAAAATTGTAAAGAACATTAGCATATGCCATTTCTTAGCAATGAAAAGTAAGATAACGCAGCGAGCACTATATGGCACAGTTTTTCGTTGTCAGCTGGTATTGATTTATTGATTTTCTGAATATCATGTAGGTTTTACACGCTTACGAAGTTCAGATCATTGCTGCCTTCAGTAGTACACAATGATTATTAAAGAACTTAATAATACATATTGAGATTTCTGCAAAATGATGTATGACGTATAGTTTGACGCAATCTATCTTTATTTATCCATAAGATTATGAACGCACATGACACATGCCTTACATTTACATTTTTACATTTACGACTTTACGCTATATATAGTTTCAAAAAAAAGGTAATGAAAGTAAGTAATAAGACTGTTTTACCTGTAAGTCCAATTGTATAACGTTTTGCAATGTGTCCGTATTTATCCATGATGCTGATTTCGTCGTCTTTTAAATTGTTACAAATACGTTGAAGTTGTTCTATTAAATACTTTACCTGTTTTGTGACTTTATTATTTCACATGTCTTATAAAATTCAATGTTAAAGTGAACAGTATATGATAAAAAAATTAATGTAAATAAACCAACAGTAAAATTCAGCTTCATGACTGTAGTATCACGAACAAATTCTTTTTGGATAAATATTTGACAGAATAAAGGTATAAAAAATAAAGCAAACTTACTGTTTTGTTGTTAACATAAAACGAATTATATTGTATCATA